TAGACAAAAAATGGAGGGCACTGGTACTGCTCCAACACACACTGATCCTTTCAACCCTCCATGTTTGAATTAATGATCAAATAGTCACATAAAGGAATATATATACATATGCTATTCCCATTTTAATCTTTACTGTGATTTTTTTAAAATATTTTAATTGGACAAAAGATTTCAAACTTGTGAAAGATGAAAAATGGCTTATACCATCAAGCATAATAAAGCTACAAAATATGTATAAAAACTGTCTAAATGTCACAAAATAAATCATTACATATGTGTATATATTGACCAATTTTGTACCCATTCTCAGTTTAAATTGCACCCTTATGCTGTGTTTGGTTGAGGGATTTGGAAATGAATTTGGAAAGGGAAATGGAAAAGGTAGGTGAAATGTGAATAAAATATGTATATATTTCACATAGTTTCACACACCTTTTCCCTTTCCCTTTCCAAATCCCTCCCCAAATCCCCCAACCAAACACACCATAAATTTTTTTTTTTTTAATCATTCAAATTATTCTTGGGATCGAATATCTTTCCCAAGTGATATATTTAACACTATTTACTACTTGCTTTTTCAACTTTGTCAAAACGTGTTCTTAAAGAATATTTTGGATTTCAAATGATTCCTCAATTATATGGTGCCACTGTCGTACATACTTTTGTTTTGTTTTTTTTGACAAGTTACTGTACTCCATACATGTACTCGATATTCTAAGCCAAGAATAATTTTTGAATGTGATGGAACGTTTAATTAAGGACCATGCAATTGCTATATCTCTTAATCTGAAATTCGCATTCATCCAAACTGATGAATTAATTGTACCAAACCATGATAAATTGGTAGAGGGAATTTGTCTGATTTGTGGAGTATGAATAAAATCATTTTTTTTTTTAACCAAATCAATTACAATTTATATGTATTATTGATTATCGACATTATTAAGGAATAACAACCAATTATAGATAACTTCTTTCACCACCATTACGAGTTTAGGAGTATAATCAATAATTGCCAAATGCAAGATTAATTATTTCTTCTTCATTATGGGGAGATTTTTTTCCAATCAAATTATAGGTTTTTTATTTTTTTAAGTTGACGTAGTTGTTGGGATTTTTATATATTGATGATGATGTTTAACTCTTAATATCAGATTTAATGTAATTATCATGATAATTGCAAAAAAAAAAAATTATCTCAATTGAACCCCACCCCCCCTTTTTTTTTTTTTTGTCTTTTTTTTTTTTTTTTTTTTTTGAGCTCTGCATTTTTCTCTAAGGAACTAGGGTAGAGAAATCAATAGATTAGGAGTATTTGGGGTTTTAAGGCAAGAACTAGAGAGAGAAAGAGAGATAAATTAAAAAGTGACAAAAATTTCCTTTTCCCAATCTAATATATGCGCTGACCACTCGAGTGACCAAACTAGACACAATAAGTGACATCACTCAAGTGACCAAAAACACCGCTCAAGCACACAATGACTCCCTCCCAGAAGTTCAGACTTGTAAAAGACAACTCAAGCGAAGATCACCCAATCCCAGAAGTTTTATGGGTTTGCAAAAATATTGAGAGATATCAAAGACCGCTCGAGCGAACCTAGAGTGAAATAGACAGCAACTCTTTTGAAAAACTAACTTCCAACCTGTTGCAAACACAACCAAAAACTCAACTCAACTACCAATGATAAAGGGCATGAACAATAGTTATAGGTATGGAAGCCCATATCTAAGAGTATGACAAGGGTCAAGTCTAAACCGGAATCGTTATAGCTTCACGGGCATAGTAACAAATTGGTACAACAACCTGAAAGCAAGTGATAAAGTGGCATTAGCATATGAACTAACTCCTGAGGGTATGTTAAATACATTTGTAAAATATATCGAGCAAGAGTTTGAAGGAAAAGATTGGAATGAAGAAAAACGAGCAAGAGAATGGATTATAAAATTAAATAATATAGAAATATGTAATATGGAATGTATAGAAAAGGAAAATTTACCCATAAATTCTATTTTCCGAAAAGTTGAACCATTTAGTCCTAAAAGTTTTCTTATGCACCATTTAGTCCCATTTATACATCATCATCAAAATAACATCAAACATCATCATTAAAACAACATCAAACATACATTATCAACATCATCAAAACATTAGCAAAATCATCAAACATCATCAGAACGCCTAGGGTTTTTACATCGTCAACATCATCATGAACAATAGCAACATCATCAACATGGTGAACATCAGAAGTAACACAAACTAATCAATCCCTAAACCTTTGAAACCCTAACTTCTTACAATCCCAACGAACAGATCAGACCTAAATTAACCCAATACGCAGAAATCGATTTCGAACCAAACCCACAACCCAATACGTAGAAATCGATTTCGAACCAAACCCACAAAAAAAAAAAAATGGAACATGTAAACGTCCAGAACTTCCTCGGCGTCCGATCTCGAAAACCTCACTGTATTTCCCTCTCCCAACCTTCCTCACAACCTCATAATCGTCCTATTCCCCCCATTGATCGGTGAGGGCTTCGTAATCCCAGTACTCCTTGGGACGGATCACATTGATGGCCATAAGGCCTCTGCAATTCATCATCTCCAATCCCAATCGGCTTTTCTCTTCTTTCTCCTCCCTCTTCTCCTCTTCTCTTCTATCGCCCGCCGTCGATCTGTTCTTTCCGGTAGCAAAATCAGCTGGCGGTTGAAACTGATTTGCCTTTGGGGTTCGCTTTTCCTTCGAACCGAAGCGGCAGCAGCAGGGGACGCCATTGCAGAATCAAGGTCAAGCGGCGGCGGGGGATGATGTTTGCGAAGAATAACCGAAGATCCGATCAGATAAGATCTATCTTCACTTCTCTCCATCTCAACTCTTCAGATTCTCTCTCTCTCTCTCTCTCTCTCTCTCTCTCTCTCTCTCTCTCTTTCTCTCCCTCTCTCTGTTTGTGTTTATTTTTGTTTCGCAGAGCTTCACTAGGTTCTCTGGATGATCAAAATGACGAGAATGTTACTGCCCATATGGAATCAATGTGAAAATTCTAGGGTTTCTTCTTCGACGCAGCAATTGGTTGTTAGGGTTTAGGAAATGTGTTGAACCATTATAATGTATATGTTGATGTTTGATGTTATTTTTTTTTAGTTTGATGTTGTGACGGTTGTTGATGATGTGATGACGTTTGATGATGATGCTTGATGATGATGTTGTGATGTTTGATGTTGTTTGAATGATGATGTTTGTGATGTTTGATGTTGTTTTAATGATGATGTTTGATGTTGATGTTGTGATGTTTGATGTTGTTTTGATGATGATGTTTGATGTTGTTTTGATAATGATGTTGTGATATTTGATGTTGTTTTGATAATAATATTGTGATGTTTAATGTTGTTTTGATAATGATGATGTTGTTTTGACGATGATGATGTTTGATATATATGCTCTCTATGGTCAATTTTTCTATAATGGGACCTTTCAGTCTATAAGAAAATTTTTAGGACTAAACAATGTATAAGTTGTTAATTTGGGATTTATTGGTGCATCACCCTATTATTATTATGTGAAAATCTTAATTAGTATAACAAAACTTTGCTCTCCTCATATTACGGAATAATATTTTTTATTTAAAAAAAACAAATTAAATAAATGACTATTTTAGAAAAATGGTTAAAAATCATTTTTTAACTTTTAACTTATCTTAAGTCATATCATTTCTTATATTTTTTAAAAAAATTTAAAAAAAATTATTTTTTAATTATCTTCCCAATACAACCCAAACAAAATGGACAAGTGTTAAACATATGATCATGAATTTAAAATAAAAAGACTTATACCACTTAAATTAAGAAAAATGATCCGTAGCTCGAAATTCAGTGGCCCGAATTTGGCTCGAAGCCCAAAACGACATCGTTTTGGGCTTTGATTTATTTATTTATTTATTTTTTCTTCTCCTTTTCTTGCTTTTCGAATAGAGAGACAAAAAAGAGAGAGAGGAGAAAAGAAGAAGAGAGGAGGAGAAGAAAAGAAGAGGAAGAGAGGAGGCGAGAGAGAGAGAGGAGAGAAGAGGGAGAGAGAAGGAGGCGGTCGGTGATCGTCGATGATGGCGGTCGGTGATGTCCCCTTTCCAGTAGATCTGGATTTGATGAAGATGATGATGATGTTGAAGATGATGAAGATGATGATGTTCAAAATCTGTTGGGTTGATGAAGTAAAAAATAAATAAATAAATTGTTGTTGATGATGTTGATCTGGATTGAAAATGAAGGAATAAAAAAAAAAAAACTTTGTTGATGAAGATGTTGATGTCGGTGATCCCCTTTCTAGTAGATCTGGATTTGATGAAGATGATGATGATGAAGATGTTGATGTCCATGATCCCTTTTCTAGTAGTTCTGGATTTGATGAAGATGATGATGATGTTCAAAATCTGAAGATGAAGGAAAAAAAAAAATGTTGATGAACCCAGCAGCGTAGCAGACTCAGCTCCTTTTTCTTCTTCCTTCTTCTTTTCCATCTTTAGAAAAACGCGAAGAAAGGCAAAAAAAAAAAAGAAATGAGGACACCAAAACAACATCATTTTAATATCGAGCCACTCTATAACCACAAACTTTTGAACTACGAATCAGAACTGTTAAATTAATTACACGTTATTGTTATTGTTATTGTTATTATTATTATTATTATTATTATTATTATAAAAGGTTGACTGAAAAGTACTATGTTTCACTTCCTCTCTGCACCAACCAAACTTCCTAAGCCTCCGTTTAAGAGGTGGGTTGATTTTTTAGTTTTTTTGATTATTTTAATTTGGGATTAAAAAGTTTGGTTTAAAAAAGATTTTTTTGACTTTTTAATTTTTTAATTTTTTTTTATAAAAAGAAAATGTAATAATTATGAATTGAATTTGATTTTTTTTTTTTTTTTACTAAAAATACTTTTTTTTTTTTTTTTTTTTTTTTTTTTTAAAAAAACTTTTTTAGGCCCTAGCCCACCAAAACCAACTTCCCAAACTATGCCCAACCCTGAATTCTTCTGTTGACCCAACTCACTCACTCAGTCAGATAACAATGGCGATTAAACCCATCACTCCACTTCTCACTCTCTCTCTTATCTTCCTTCTCTCTCTCTCCGCAGCCTCAGCTTCGTTTCGGTCTTCTTCCAAATGGGTCCCTCGATTCCTCGGCAAATCCTCTCTCCTCACAAAACCCCAATCCATGACCCAACAACAATACCAGTACGAAACCCGGTACTTCGAGCAGCCTCTCGACCATTTCAGCTTCGCCGATCTTCCAACTTTCCATCAACGGTACCTGCTCAACGACGACCACTGGGTGGGTCCGAGTCAATTGGGTCCTATCTTCCTCTACTGTGGGAACGAGGGCGACATTGAGTGGTTCGCAGACAACACCGGCTTCGTCTGGGAACTCGCACCTCGATTCGGCGCCATGGTTATCTTCCCCGAAGTAAGAACAATATACTTGTAATTGTCTGTTTGTGATACAAATGTGATGGGTTCGTAATTTTGTATCTAACTTTTTTTTTGTCATTTTGTCAATTTGGTGAATGCGAAAAATGGGTTGAATTTGAATATTGTTGGCATTTATTAGAGCAATTAACAATATGGGTATTTTTGAAAAAAATAAAATTTTAAAACTTTCTGTACTTCATAGTAGTTGCATGTGATGATTTGTAATGAATTTGATCAATTATTAAGATTGGTTGAATTTGAAAATGGGTTAATAGTTATTTACTGTATTTTTGAACAAAATGGGCATTCTTGAAAAAAAAAGAAAAAGAAAAAAGAAGAAGAAGAAAAGTGAGACTTCTAAACAAGCTGTGTGTTTTAGAATAGGATAGATATATGCGTGCGCTTGGTTATATTTGTGTATTCATCTCTGTTTGTTTGAATCAGCATTTTGAATTGATCGATCCTACGAAGAATATGATTGAAAATCTTTTGTTTTGATCCACAAAGTCTCGTCCCCTCTCCCTTCAGTTTCTGAGAAAGCAGAAAAATGAAAATTTTGATTTTTTTTTTTTTGGGGGGGGTCTCTAATTCTCCTTTTTGTTTTTGAACATCTGAGAGAAGAGCTCAACTGAAGCAGAATGTTTTGATACCATTGGGTCTGACGATTATGATTCCAGTCCTGATTTGTTTTTCATTTATTTTCCTACATTTTCTCGGCACCCAAATAGAATACATTTGATGATTGTATTATTATGATTGAATGCGCCATTTTGATCTTTTATTTATTTCAATTCTTATTTATTTGAGCTAACAAGTTGCAGAATTAAATTGTGAGACCAGTTTCTCTTTGGCATACATACATGATATTACTTGATAATTTTGTTGGCAGCATCGATACTATGGCAAGTCGATGCCCTATGGAAGTGGTGATGAGGCATATAAAAATGCTACCACTTTATCACATCTTACGGCTGAGCAAGCACTTGCTGATTTTGCTGTATTGATTACCGACCTGAAAAAAAATTTGTCTGCCGAGGCCTGCCCTGTAGTGTTGTTCGGCGGATCATATGGTGGAAGTAATACAGCATTATTCTCTCTAATTAATTTTACATTTGTAGGAACTCAAAACAGTTTATGTTTTTGTCCACTGTGACCTATACTTAAACATCTTTTGTCTTGTGAATGGATCAGTGTTGGCTGCGTGGATGAGACTCAAATACCCTCACATTGCAATCGGAGCACTTGCTTCTTCAGCACCTGTTCTTCAATTTGAAGACATTGTGCCACCGGAAACATTTTATGACATTGTGTCCAATAGTTTCAGAGTTCGTTGTTCTAGACTTACTTGTGTTTACTTCATTTTGTGTATTAATTGTACAAGCATATTTTCTGCTTTGTGAAACTTCTTCTCTCTTATCCACGCAGCGTGAAAGCACTACCTGCTTCAACACTATAAAAGAGTCTTGGGACGAACTTGTATCTGAGGGTCTGAAAAATGATGGCCTTCTGCGACTGACCAAAACTTTCCATTTCTGCCAGTAAGAACTTGTGCATGCAATGTTCGCTTTCAATCTCATGTACACGCTCTTGCAGTATCAATGTCAATATGTCTCCTGATTTGCTAGTTTGGTTTATGAAGACTGATTGGATAAAAAATGAATGACAGGAAACTGGAAAATACAGATGATCTTTCTAACTGGTTGGAGTCTGCTTATAGTTATTTGGCGATGGTGAACTATCCATATCCTGCTAACTTTATGATGCCTTTGCCTGGAAACCCCATAAAAGAGGTTGGTTAGAAAATTCTCGCAGAAATTTTAGGTTATACAGTTCTTCTACTTGCATAGAAATCAATCATAGAACCAGATACAATCCTCTCACATGTGTGTGGAACTCACCTCATGTGAGAGGGTTGTGTCCGGTTTTGTGATCCGTTTATGTGTTTCTAAACTTTTTCTTACGTTCTGTAGTGAACTATGTTAAAAATTCTCACTTTCTGATAAGTTTTAGTTATTTATCCTTTCATAAAGTGAAAGTAGCATGACACAAGGGCCTACCTGTTCTCTATCATATAGAGAACTTGTTGTTCAATAAGGTCAATCTAACTAGTAGTTCCTTGTGCTATTAGAGAAGTTTTGTTAAAATTGATACCATGATTAGAAGTATATGTTTTGTTGATGTGCATTTATTGCACTTTTCTGTTGCTTTGGTGATCCGATTATCTGAAAATTTGTTGCTTGTCACTGTCCTTACTTCTATGAAAATCTTATTTTATATTATTGCTGATACACATTTCTGATCCTGCACCTTCCCAGCAGTTTCAATATTTATTTATTTTTTAAATATTATAATAAATTTATCGAACCACCCGTGGGCATTTGGGACTACCTGTTTTCTTAGTGAACTTAGTCCTCTGTAATCTCCATGAATGCTAGACACTGCCTTCAAGTACATAGCTTATAGATTCATGTTATTTTAACTTTTTCTTTTATGGATTTGAGTGGCTCTAGTACATGGGTCCTACTAACCACTGCTCACTGGATGTTGGTCAAGGACCAAATAATCCCATAAAAGTTGGAACTCCAATCACACATTCCCATACACTTTTATATATTTCTATACATTTTTTTTTGCATATTTCAATGTACTTTTTACTCATATATTATAGGTTGTTAAAGGGTGTACCCAGTGCACGAAACTCCCGCTTAAGCGGAGTTTGAGGAAGGATTGATGTATGCAGTCTTTAACCCTCGCAAACGGAGAGGCTAGCTCCGCGACTCGAACCCATGACCTCCAGGTCACCAACCAAGGGGTAGCATGACATAGTGGGTGTTTAGGAAGTTGCTATTTTAGTAGGCTATTTTAGTTTTTGGCTATTTTAGAAGAGTAAAATTTGTGTGTTTGAGAAGATAGTTAGATTTTTTTTGTAGTTGAATGTGATGTTTGTGAGAGAAAAGATGAAATGATTATGAATTTGATGTGACATTTTGTCTTATTAGTTATTTTAGTTTATTTTTGTCTTTTAGTGCTATTTTAGCCAAAAAAAACTAAAAAACTTCTTCCCAAACACCCCCATAATCATAGGTTATTAAATAGTAAAATAAAGACATAGGTAGCTAGCATGACATGATTATGATGAATCTGATCTGTTCCTATTTATTTACTAATATATTCAACCATCACTTTTCTTTTTGCTAGGTTTGTCAAAAGATTGACGATTGCCCTGATGGGACTAGTGTTTTGGATCGCATATTTGAAGGAGTAAGCGTGTACTACAATTACACCGGTGATGTTGACTGCTTTCAACTGGATGACGACCCTCATGGCTTAGATGGTTGGGACTGGCAGGTCTACAAGTTCTATGATATGCATATTTTCTTTTTTTTCCCCCCTGTTTTTGCTTGAACGTAAATGTTTCTCAAGGGTACCATACTTAAATACTCTTTCCTTCGTTTCCTATTCCATTTACAGGCTTGCACTGAGATGGTTATGCCAATGTCTAGTAGCCGAGACACTAGTATGTTTTCAGCATATGATTTTAACTACACTTCTTTTCAAGAGGAATGCTGGAAGGAGTTTCGTGTCAAACCAAGACCTAAATGGATAACCACAGAATTCGGTGGCCATGTAAGTGAATGGTGATTTATAAATTTATTGATGGCTTCCATAGTGTATTACATTGATTGGCAATATTATTTCTCCATCATCTCCTAATCTCTTCATCATCTCTTAGATTATACAAAGCTACTTACTACATTAGGTCCGGTCAGTGTTAATTAAATAATTACTAGTTCATAGAAATGTGAAGATGACTTCCTTCGTTTTTCTTCCCTTTTTTTTTTGAAATGAAAAGAAAGTAAATTAATGTACTTTTGTATTATAATTCTGAAATATGTAACCTTCTTCTGAACTTTACACTTTGTAGTAGTACTACAACATATCCTGTCCAAATTTGACTTTCTGGCTAAGGCTAATTTCAAATCCAAATAAATAGGCTATATAATTATGTGGACATGCAAAATTTTATGTAGAGGGAATGAATCATGAGTCGTAACTAGGTGATAACATAGGATTTCCACTTCCAAATAGAGAGCAATAATGTCTTCAAAGTTTAAATTATAATATTCAGTTCTATTCATTTATACTTTATTTAATAGTTTGTTGGGAAATTGTGTCATTACTCCTTGTGTTGTCTTGTTTTTGTATTGCATGAGACGGACCTTTTAGCTTCTTTGATCTCATAACTTGAGTTTGATGTTTTCGACTTTCCATGTGAAGGATTTCAAGACTGCCTTGAAAATGTTCGGAAGTAACATCATTTTCTCAAATGGTCTATTGGATCCCTGGAGTGGTGGCAGGTAATGTGTTCATCGTTTATGTGATGTTAGTGTTGTCGAATGTTTATTGTTTTGAGCTTTGATGGATGTTGCTAACTTCTGTTGTAGTGTTCTGGAGGACGTATCTGAAACTATTGTTGCGCTCGTCACAGAAAAAGGTAATTCTGGAATTGAATATCAACTTTGATTCTTAGCAATTTGCTAGATTTATCATGTAGTAAAAGCAAAAAACCTCAAATCCTCGATGGAAACACATATATTGTTAGAAATTTAGAATATAGAAAGGAGAATTTGGTCCAATTCTATTGGCCTATGTTATGAACTGGAGTACCCGTGTTGGCTGCAAGTATGTGTTTGAATACGAGATTTATCTAATTCTTATGTCATTTACACCAAGACACGAATATATATATATCTATATAATAAAGTAGGAGAGTTTTTGAATTTTCAATATATTTTTGTCCTACTAAGACATTTGGACAGTTTAGATTTATTTAAACTACAAAACAATGACTGAGATGTATTTTCAAAAAAATGTCCTACGTGTATATTTTCTACTCTCTCTCTTCTCTCTTTTACTTTCTTCTTTTTCCACTCACCCTCCCATGATCCCATGAATAATCTTACATTTCACTCTGCACCACAACCCCTCTCTCTTTCTCATATCTTGATTTCAAATTTGATCCCAACATTATTTATAGGCATGCACTAGTATGTATTATATTTAGATAAGTACTATATTTCATATTTCTCAGACACTTCTTTGATTTTTAAACATTAACGTACTAAAATATAGTATTTTGTAAAATGAAAATGTCATACTTATTGTATAACAAACTTGACTACTAATACATTCTCGTTTGGTGCACCTCTGACCACGCATAAGATTTTTTTTTTTTTTTTGCATAAGATTTTTTTTTTTTTTTTTTTTTTTCATACCAAATTTGGGAAACAATTTGGTTTAGAAGCTATCCGTTTGTTTTGAACGGAAAATATTTTTTGCATTTTCTAGTGTTTTGTATGATGAAAACAAAAGTTAACGGAAATTGTTTTTCGTGATCCATGGAGGTGGAAAGTATTTTTCACTTTTGAAAGGTGAAAACTATTTTTCAGACGAAGTCTTACGAATGCCACCGCACTACTAGTGCGACCACACCCCACCTCCATTACCTCCACCACCACCCCACCACTAGCAGATATGTTACAAAATGGCGAAACATAGTAGGAAATATTGAAAAATATTTTCGTCGAAACGAACGGAACGTGAAGCAAAATTATTTATTTATTTATTTATTAATGAAACAAACTCGTGGCTGTCTTTGTTTCTTGTAGGTGCCCATCACTTGGATTTGCGAGCAGCGACTGCTGAGGATCCTGATTGGTTGGTGGAGCAGAGGGCAACCGAAATCAAACTGATTCAAGGCTGGCTTAATGATTATTACCTGGAAAAGAAGCCATTTTCGGACATGTAGAGAGAGCTTCAAGCTTTGTGGAACTTCCACTCACCAACTTTTTCTTGCTCCATTTTTCCACATGATCAAGTAACAATATTGTACATGGTAAGGTTTGTCATTTTCGTCAAAGCAAACACTCAAAATTATCGAGTGTAAACAACTGCTACCATGTTTAGATCCCGCTTTCAGGAGCCATAAACACAATCTGTTTTTTCCAACAATGTCCCCAGGAATTGAAGAATCACTTTTATGACTATATTTATGTTGTCATTTGCTATTGTAAGATGTGGTTCAATTAATTAATAATTTAATTAGTATTATAGAAACTTGTCAAAGTAAATGTTGGAAATCTCTCTCTCTCTCTCTCTCTCTCTCTCTCTCTCAATATACCAATAATTTGTTTATAAATAGAGATAGAAACTCTAATAGTAGAATTTATTGAATTAACGGAATAAATTGCTTCATTAGAGATGCAAGGGAGAATGGCAACATTTAATTTTAGTTTAAAAGTTAAAAAAATCACTAAAAAAAAATTAAAAAGTTAACAAATTATATCAAAAACTCAAAGATTTTATTCTCTATATTTTTTTGGTTAAAAATTAAAAAGTCAATTTAAATATATGAAATTTTGTATTTCATATTTTAGTTAAAATTTTTTGAAGTTATTAAAATAATTTGTTCCTAAACAAAGTCAAAAAGAGTAGGGGAAGAAAAAGAAAATGAGTATGTTGGTTTCAGCTTTTTGAAAATTGAGTTTTTTTGTTTTTGCTTGTTTTTTATTTTTATTTATAGTGAATATTTTTAAAATTTTAAGTAAGTTTTTTATTTTTTTAGATACACTTTACTTAAATGTATCTAAATAGTAAAATATTTATGAAAAATTATTTTAAAAAATTAATAAATATACAAAAATATGAAAAATGTATTGAATATTCTTTTTTTTTTTGTATTTAGTGAATTTTTTAAAGATTTTTATTTTATTTTTTTACAAATATTATACTTTTTAAGTGTATTTATGTTAGGTGTGTCTAAAAAAGGCAAATTACACTAACAGTCCTTATAGTTTGTGACTCGTGTCACTTTGATCCATAACTTTTCAATTGTAACACATTTGACCCTGAATTTTAAATTTGTTCCAAATAAGGACAATTGAAGATACCATTGCTTAATGTTAAGGGCAAAATTGTCAATTTGATAAAATATAAACTCATTTGACAAAAATAAATATCAAAAAAATATTTTTAAATTTTAAAAATTGTTTCTATCCACCAAAGATAAAATTATGTAAAATTGATAAATCTTTTAGACATTTATTTAGTTATTTATTTATCAAATTAATTTTTATTATATGTTTGGATGATGATCATGTAATGGGTGGTTGTTAGGATTTTAATGTGTAATCGATATATTTAGCCCTTGTTTGGCTATCATTTTGGGTCTAAAAAAACACAAATAACAAAATAGACTAATAAGACAAAATATCAGATTCAATCCATAATCATTACACTTTTTCTCTCATAAAAGTCAAAAAAATCCAAAATAAACGAGGCTAAAAAAATCATTCTAAAAAAGTCTCAACACAAAAAAATTGGCTATATTAGCCAATGCTAGACGAAAATATATGAAATCTTTTTAGTTTTTGATTTAATGGATTGGTTTAATAATGATATTAAAGTTGTCGCAATATTTGACTTTAGAAAAAATAGAAACTAATTTAATGAAAATAAAATAACCACCCATTACATGATCATCATCCAAACACATAATAAAAGAAAAAATATCTAAAAGATATATTAATTTTACATAATTATATCTTTAGTGGGTAGAAATAATTTTTAAAAATTTAAAAATATTTTTTGACATTTTTTTTATTAAATTAGTTTATATTTTATCAAATTGACTATTTTCCTCTTGAAATTAAACAATGGTATCTTTAATTGCCCTTATTTCGAACAAGATTCAAAATTCAGGGTCTAACGTGTCACAATTGAAAAGTTTCCCAAATTATAGGGACCGTTAATATAATTCGCCGTCTAAAAATTAATTTTTTTTAAATATTAAAAAAATTTGTAAAAATAAAAAAATACAAAAAATGAAAAAGTAAAAAAAAAAATTTAAAAAAAATCTGAAAATTAAAACCAAAACACATGAAAGCATTTAAGTTGAGCAAAATTATTGAACATAGGGCAAATTACATAAATGGTCCCTATAGTTTACCCTTGTTTTCATTTTGTTCCCTGCATTTTTAGATGTATCAATTTTGCCCTTGCAGATTGGTTTTTGGCTCGAAATAGTCCAATAGTTAACGGTGGTTTGACATTTGGACGGAAAATCGACACGTGCAAGGCACACACTGGCCAATTTTGACTTTCTTGAACAGTTTTGACTTTCTTGAGTGTTTTTGGATCAATTCAATTTGTCTAATAGATGTTTTATTTAATTATTATTATTTTTTAAAATAAATTTATTTAAAATTTTAATTAAAAAAACATATATTTCTATTGATATTTCATTTATTTAATTTTTAAAAATAAATTTATTTAATTGTGTAAAAAATAAAATAAAATAAAATTTTATTTAATTTAGCTAAAAATAATTAAAATATTAAAGATATGTTTAATATTGTTATTACTTGGTAAACAATTAAAAAATAATAAAATAGTCTTTTGCACATTTATCCTCATCTAGTTTGTATAGCCAAACAATAGATTCACTAAAAACAGTCTTTTTCAGACATCTAATTCCATGAGAAAACAAACACGAGATACACATCCAATCCAATCAAATAGTCCGGGGGATTCACAGTCTCAAGATTCAAGTCCGATGGATTCTAAGCTCCCATTTTCTAATTGTTTACTAAGTAATAGCATGACGGTAAAATAGACATTTCACACATTAGTCTCATGGGATACGTATCCCATGGAAATAATCTCACCCCCTAGGATTGTTTAGTCCCTCATATAAATTATAAATTATAAATTATAAATTTTAATTTTAATTTTGATTTATAAAGCCATAATTTTTAATTAAATTAAATTAAATTTATTATTTATTATTTACAATTTATATTTTTTTATTAATATATAATTTTAAACTAACAACACTAAAAAAATAATTTATAAATGTCTATATTTTTTATTAATATATTTATAAATGTCTATTTTAATAATAAATTATTTTTTTATTAATAATTTAGTCCGCCAGACATAGAGTCCGACCGGACTCCATATCTCTCATATGAGGGACTAAACAATCCTGAAGAGGGTGAGATTATTTTAATGAGATTCGTATCCCATAGGACTAATGTGTGAAATGTTTATTTTACCGTCATGCTATTACTTAGTAAACAATTAGAAAATGGGAGATTAGAATCCATCGGATTTGAATCCTGTGACTGTGAATCTCCTGAGCTATTTGGTTTGATAGGATGTGTCTCCCGTATTTGTTTTCTCATGGGATTAAATGTCTGAAAAGAACTATTTTTAATGAATCTAATATTTTGTTGGACGAAGTGGATAAAGATAAATGTGCAAAAGACTATTTTGTCATTTTTCAATTGTTTACTAAGTAATAACAATATTAAACATATCTTTAATATTTTAATTATTTTTAACTAGATTAAATAAAAAATTATTTTATTTTATTTTTTACACAATTAAATAAATTTATTTTTAAAAATTAAAAAAAATAAAATATCAATAAAAATATATGTTATTTTTTTAATTAAATTTTTAAATAAATTTATTTAAAAAAATAATAACAATTAAATAATGAAATTAAATAAAACATCTATTAAACAAATTGAATTGATCCAAAAACACTCAAGAAAGTCAAAATTATTAAAGAAAGTCAAAATTGGCCCGTACGTGCCTTGCACGCGTCAATTTTCCGTCTAAATGTCTAACCATCGTTAACTATTAGACCATTTTGAGCCAAAAAACAAACTACAAGAACAATATTAATACACTTAAAAATGCAAGAATCAAAATAAAAATACGGATAAATTATGGAGACCATTTGAATAATACACTTAAAAATGTAGGAATCAAAATAAAATTACGGATAAACTATGGAGACCATTTGAATGTGTGTGTGGGGTAACTTTGGGGGGGACAAATTTTTTAAGGACTTTTCTTAAGTGTGCAACTTACACCTTACACTTACGCCTTTCTGTTTGTTGTCCTGTTTTATGTTTACACCTTCCACTTACACCCTTTGTGTTGGTTGCATATGGTGTGCAACCTTAATGGGTTGCACACCATAACAGCACCCATTTTTTAATTTAATATCTATCTATCTACATCTTCCACCTACCTGCTTATCCGTACTTATTGACAAATGATTGAACAATTTCGTTTTGAACTTCCACTCTCCTACTTTTTCTTGCTCCCATTTTTTTTCCCAGATTGTTTGTTACTATATCTAAAAGACAGAAAAATATAATATTATATTATGGATATATTTAATATTATGTTTATAAAACTCCTTTATATAGGAAGAGAGAAATTTAAAGATAGTAATTCTAAATATGATAATTAATACAATATGATACGTGTAATAGACAAAATATATAGTTATTATATTTAACACCCTCAAACTCAAAGATAAATTGGAATAAATAAATAATAATAATAATGTTGGAAGACTTTTTATGGTCGTATTAGACCGTTGTAGGAATAGGACTGGAGTTAACAGAGCTAATGCCAGTTAAAATGGGTGTTGAACCATCAAATATGATGCACACATCATTTATGACGTGGTATCAAAGTAACTATCTTGTACATAGTTTCAATAAAATTCTTGTATAGATATTTGTTTCAAGAGGTATTTTTTTTAAGGTCCCTGATATTATGATTTTATAGTATAAAGAACATCAACTATTTTCATGATGTCTAAGGTCCCTCAACATCAATCCAGAGAAATTTCAGTCCCAGAGAAAATTCGATCAAGAGAAAATTCAATTCAGAGAAAATTTAATCCAGAGAAAATTCAATTAAGAAAAATTCAATTATGCCTAAAATTTACCTCTCATTCTAGCCAAAATGAGGTGTACAGTTCTAGAAACTAAAGAACAAGAAAATGAAAAACATGAGTTGCAGAGATAAATCTCTCAATAGCAAGGGTATACGGACACAGCTCGTTGCCTTGAAGGTGGCATGCACATAATCACCAGGATGAGTATGAGAACAATCAGCATAAGAGTTGACTTGATATCTGGAGCTTCGTCTTCACCTTCTACCATGATCAACACTTCTTGTTCAAGCTTTCTTCTTCTTTAGTTTGTTTCTCTATAAACTGTCAGTTTGATGCTTTTGCTTGT